TTGTGAAAGATATTCCTCAAATTTTCTACGTGTAAAGTCTATGTTTTTTACTCATTACGGGTGGCCTTTCCAATGACAACCTTTTTTTTAATGCATATGACAATAAATTCCTAGAACTTTTCGAGTGTCATCCACTCATTCTAAATCATTGCCGAAATAAATTTCAGGAATTAAAATAGAAATTCTCCCCAGTGGAGTCGCCAAAAAGTTGTAGGGAATATTTCAACCATTACCCCAAACTTGAACCCCATTGTGATCATACACTTAAGCATGGTGGCGTCCAAAGGGAAGGAAGCTAGAGCAAAAGAGTCGCCAACAAGTTTTAGGAACTTGTAAACTGTTCACAGGGTGAAGGTTACACCCCTTAACAATCCATGAGATCGTTAACTCCAATAGGTCTGGAACCAAAGCTGGAAGTTCGGGGATGAAGGTACAAATTCAATCTAAAAGAGAAAGAACCTGCCTTAATAATAGGCCTCTACTTTATTCTTCTCGTATTCATGTGCGCTTTCTGACTAACATGCAATCAATAGGTTTAGCCCTAAACGTGTTTATCTATGTTGGTTGAATATTAATGCACAAACAAATCTATATGGGCGATCACTTAAATTATAATCAAATTAACCCTAAACAAGATTATTAATTATCTTATTAAGCGTGATTACAAGTACCAATTCCCTTTAAACATGCATAAAAGGTGTGATCAAGCAATAACAATAAATATATATATATATATATCAAGCAACATAATAATAATAATAATCATAATCATAATTAAAATAATCATGTTAAAGCATAATAATAGCAAGATCCTAGGCATGATACTAACAAGATTAATAACAAACCCTAGCATGTCACTAAACAATAAAGATCAAAGCTTTAACCCTAACATGATACTAACATGATATTAAGAAAGAAATAGGAAGCATCATAGAAATCATAATTGATATAACGAAGAAACTTATTCTTACCCTAAACATCATACTAAAAAAAGCATCCTAACATGATACTAGGAATCAAAATAACAACCTAAACATGATTTCTATATCATAATATCAATTAAACAATTAAAGTACTTACTTGGATGCCTCGTATCTCTTTCTAATAACAAAATACACATGTTAGTAACTTCAAGGAAAATAATGAAATCAAAAAATTAAATTAAATAATTAAATTAAAGATTTGGGACCAAACCCTCAGAAATATCAAACCTTTCACGTCTAGGGCGAAGACAAATTTGAATTTGGCTAGGTGTCTAGATCTTGTGAATGCGGAATTTTGTTTGTAAAAAGGTTGGTTTAGAAGGAGATAGAGAAAAATAATAAGCTTTAGCTTAGAGAGAGAGAAGAATTAGAGAATTCTGGGTTTTTTATGGGAATTGGTCAGAATTGATGGAGAATTGATTGATTAAAAACGGAGGTCTAAGGACGCTATTGATAATGAAAACAGTCTGGATACGATAACAAAGAATCAGAGTTTGAAGAGGAATAAAACACGTCGATGTCGCCACAACAACCCCTGTCGCCGCGCGACAGGGTCTGTCGCTGGGCGACGGCCTGACGTTCGGCGCTGCAGGAGATTTTCCCACACGTTTTCTATTTTTAATAAAATTAAATCATAAAAGTCCGTACGAGGGGTAAACTCGTAATTTCATTCAAAACACTTCTTTTATTCCAAATAAAACTCATAAAACTTAATTATCAATCCTAATCCCATTAGGATTCAAAAGAACCTTCTAGGAGACTATAATCAAATCTAATTGCATTAGGAATGACAATTCATAATAGGCCCTCCTCTAGATCGTTGGGCCGCATATAAAGATCAAATCGGGCCCAGTTTAGTAATTTGGTGATAACTTCCTCATTATTCATCGGAATTGGGCTTATAATATATTGTTGGAAAACTCTTTTCGAGCCCAATCCAACTAAACTATTATTGAACCCTTGTTATGGACCAAACTAAACTGGATTGGCTATTTTCATAAAATAGAGTAAGTTTTCGAAAACAGAAAGAGAGATTTTTTATAAAAACTAACCGCAACATTAGACTTTCCACACTTTCACTTCATTCGATTATGATTCGACGCGAAAGGTATTCATCACTGTGTTTGGTTTAGGGGAGACACAAATGGGGGTCTACAACATTACACCGACCACATCAGCGAACTTTCACACACCAAGTCGTGGCCCATGATGGCCTTGACGCGCGAGCTCATTGCACTACATTACTCCACAAGCAATTTCAACGCGCACCAAACCCTTTTCATGCACCAAGCATCACACGCACACAAGCACTCACGCTCGCACCAACCATGCCACGCCCAACCATGCGCGCACGGCATGTTGCTGCTGCTGCTTGCTTACTGGCAGCGAGCAGTAGCCACGCAATGCAGCACACACACGAGGCAACCCCTTTGGCAGCCACATGCAGCCCGGCTAGCCAAGGGAGGTTTTGCCTCAATCTTTAATTCGTGCCATAGCCTCGGGATTTTAACCCAAGTTTTGCGTGACTTAAATAATTAATTCCAAATTAATTTTAGAATTATTATAATGAGGAAAATGAAAATTATAACAGGTCTAACTTAAATAAATTCACCCAAGTGCACTAAACACAAATTATTTCCAAGAATTATTCTTTAATAAAATTGGATCTACTTGATGCAACAAAATGAATAAGGGAAATACTCACTATTAATTTAATTAACTTAAATTAATCATGATATTTGACAAAATAAAGGAGAGTTGGAATTATGAACAAAAATATTCAAATAAAGATTCTAACTTTAACTTGTGAATCCTTGAGAAATTATATCTTCCAATATAAAGATAAATGAAATTTCTATCACAGGATTCAAACTTTATGTTTCCAATTAACTTAATACATGATTAAATTAAAAGTTCAACCAAAAATTCATGGAATTCAGTAACTCAAAGTTCCAACCACTTAAAACAATTAAAGATTGGATCTTTAGTACTTAGGAGGCTAAAAGAATAAATTTTTCACACTAAATGCAATGGTTTTGCAATTATGTGAAAATTTTAACCAATCTTTCAAGCAATAATTACTACCAAGTAACTATGCTTAAAGAGGTTCAAAAATGCAGAAACATTAAGGAAAGAACCAAATACATAATCACCATAAATATGCCATTAAGATTTAAGGTTTGAAAGACTAAAAAATTTTCGTTAAAATGAAAAACCCCTCGAAAGGCATTTCTGGTCAGATTTTGGCCTAAAACACATTCCTAAAATGATTAAAACATTTCCAGAACGCCTTTTCCACCCAAAATTCACTTTTTTGAGCGAAAATCTGGTTTGAGGCTATAATCAGCTTTAAAACGAGATTAAAATTTATAAAACCGAGCTACTAATCTAATTATCAACATAAAACCAGAAAAATAATGCCATAAAAACACCTTGAAAATTATAATTATAAGAATAAATGAGCAAGGCTCCGGGTTTTGATGAGTCCGACTCATCGCAAAAAATAAAACCCGGGCCAAGATCACACTCACAATTAATATAATCAAAAGACATAATTAGCAAGAATAAAGGAAAGACAAAATTACCTTTGACGCGTGTTTCACTCGTACCCCGAGCTCTTACTTGAGAAAGCTTATTAAGTCTCACAACGGGCGAAAACCTCCTACGGTATCCACCCGCAACACAACCCTGACTAGGTCCATTGCTTAGAGGTTAGCCAAGCCCGACCAAACTAATCGAGTAATTATGAGTTTAAAGTTTTTCTCAATGGAGATGTCTTTTCTAACTCTTACTCAAGTGAGTTTTCCCATACCCCAAGTTGGGTAATTTATAGGGACACTCATGAGTGAAATCTTCTCTCCCATCAATGTGGGAGAGTTTGTAAAATCAATATTCTCTTTTTATTTTTAAATCAAAAATAACATTAAATAACCAACAACTAAAAAATCAACAAGTGTCACACTTAGAGGAGGGGTTAGGTAAGGACCACAAGGGAAAGGGGGGGACCAAACTTAATCCCCAAGCACTCCCCATAATTGGCCACCTACACTCAAACACCCCTAATCACCTGCTGCCACGTGGCACCCACCCTTTGGCACCAAGGCAACTTGGGTGTGGGTTGCTGCCTCTAGCGTGGCTGCTTGGGTGCGCTGCTGCTACCTCGGCCCAGGAAGCCACACACACAAGTGCGGGTTGCTGGCCGAGGTCTACAGTTGTACCAATGCTAGCACACGTAGCCCAGCAAGCTACGTTGCTAGCTGGTTGCGGGGCTTGGCGCGCCAGCAGCAAGGCACTAGCACACTTGCCCCGCACACAAGCGTAAAAGGACACGCACGCACATGCGGGCTGCTGCTGTTATGTGTGTGGCTTGGTGCATGCTAGGTATGTGTCTAAACACATTTTGCCCCTAGCACTCGATTTGCTTGAGGCATTCCGATGCTAGGGGTATTTTAGGTAAATTGTTGATTAATTAGTGATTTTACTATATCGTCATTAATTAATTCGACTCGACTTACGACGCTCAATTTCGACGCTCCAAGCTCGATTTCCGACGTCTAAATATTAGTCACTCGAACTACTCATTGATTCCTTCCGAATAAATTCGTCGTGTCAAATCGTTTGTTGCTTGGTGTGACCCAAAGGGTTCAGTCAATATTAAGCTGTAATAATAATTACTCATTAAAATTACTGATCGGAAGCGGCCCCCACCTAGGCAATCCGATCACTTAACCTCACTAAATAATTAACTTTCTAATAATTCCAAACCCTCTACCAGAATAATACACTTGTTTGAAGGACATCATTCCTATCATAAACAAAGTCGAGTACTAATCTAGTTTACAATAAAATCCTACCACCACCTATAACTTGTCAATCCGTCCGTCCTCAGTTTTCTCCAATTGCTGTTAGCTGAATATCAGAAGCAGCTTGTGATTGCCAACCATACATGAATTACAAAGACAATGGAGTGGGGCAAAAAAGAACACCTATGATGAGCAGCTCGGGTAAATTAGCAAATGGTACTAAAAACGGCTAAGGCAGCAGCTCTCCAAATTTAACAATTCCAACAAAATACATTGTCTATTCAATTATTTCATATTCATGGCACAAGACATCCAAAAGTAAAATGCAAACCTGAACTTGAGCATAAATGACAACACTTCAAAATTCAGAAAGACAGTCCTGTGAAGATAAACAACCACTAGTACGAGGAAGCATAAATGGATATGTTGGTTCTATCAAAATTATTCTAATATTATACGCTTAAATAATGCCCAGAAGACACCAGTGTTCTTTTAATATTGATCGTCATCATAGGAACTTAACCGCCACCAGAACCATATTTCTTGCCTAGGAGAACTAACTGTAGCTTGTCATAACCAGCAAGCACACCAGCACCTGCAACAGCACGCAAAATGTTGGCACCAGCCCCCTTGAAGAGAGATTTTGTGCCTTCCTTCTTCATGATCTGTTGAAATGCATCAATAGAACTCTTGTATTTAACTGCTTCTCCAGAGGTCATCATCATTCTTCTACGCACAGTGTCTATAGGGTAGGAAGCTAAGCCAGCACCAATAGTGATACCCCAACCCAGCAAAAAACTGGCAACAAAGCTATCCTGCAAGCATCAACATTACCAGTATTAGTTAAACAACCGGAAGAGTATTAAGCTTTGAGCAACCACTAAGACAAAATCATGCATGCGCAAAGCATTTGTGAAGCATAAAAAACTGACAGCATGCAGAAATAACTTGTCAAAAACAGGTATATTACCTGTAGTCCATCAACCAACACCACAGGTTTAAGTGAATCATACATTCCAAAGTATAATCCACGGTAAACAATGATTCCAACACACGAGATAGTGAAACCACGGTATAGCCCAGCTATACCATCTGTTTTGAGTGTTTTCTTATAAACATCAATCATACCATTGAATTGCCTATCACCACCGCCTTTCTTCGCAATCTTAGCATCATTAGCCAACCGAGTCCTAGCATAATCCAAAGAATACACAAAGAAAAGTGATGTAGCACCAGCTAAGCCACCAGATGCCAAGTTTCCCGCAAACCATTTCCAGTATCCATCCTTGTCTTTCTTGAAATTAAACATCCTCTTAAAGTAATCCTTGAAAGCAAAGTTCAGGGCCTATTGGACAAACACATCAATAACCAATTAGCAGGAGTAGCACAAAACATTATGAGAAACAAATAGGCAAAGAAGAATTAAAAGAGTCATGTATTTAGCAAACCCATTATATTGGACTCCACAATGGAATTTGGAACGTCTATAACGTATATGTCTTTCTAGGAAAAGAAGAGTTAAGAGACTTGTGTATTTAGCACAGCCACAAAATTGAACACCACTCTTTTACGTAACTCATTTATCTACTATGGCCTTGTTCAGCAATTAGCTATTTTTGTAGGTTGTTTTACTCGTTGGTTTGACCAAATATTCATATCGATTGCTTTTATGTACTATTGGACTATTATAAATTTACAAAGACATTTGAAAATTTTGATATTGGTTGTAGCTATGCAAAATAACCTTTAAGGACATTACTCACACCATTTTTCATATTAGGCTGTCTTAAATTACTTGCAATACTTCTAAAATGGGCATAGTGTCTAAAACCACTATTTTTATATTATTTCTCCCACTTTAATTTGGTCCAGCACCAATTAAATATTAAAACACACCTTAAAACCCCATCACATGCTTGATCTAGGTGGTCTTGAGTTAATGCGCTTTAATGATGAATTCCTTACCCAGTTAGTATTGTATTCTACTACCTATCTTTGCCTTCTTTAGTTTGACAACTTTTGGCAGACTACAAGGGTCTATAGTGGATTTGTTGCTTCTTTAATTTTTGGTCTTGCTGACGTAAATATCCACCATAGTGATGTCCTGAATTGTAATTCTATGCTAATTTATTGCTAATGACTAGTTGGTCATTAAGCAAAATATGCAAAAAGGACAGTTTGTTTGAGGCTTTTAGCTCCTGATGTTATGGCCATTGCAGTACTAAAGAAAGGAATTTAATTTTTGAGGGTCACATAATGTATGAAGCACTATGAATTTCTTGTGTGCTAGCTCCTAGGAAATATACATGTTAATATGTTGCTGCAGTAACAAACAAAAAAGCCAGATAGCTGCATAATTATAGCATGTCAGGGGTAAAAGTTGGTTGAAAGTATTTGATCCATATCGATGAATAAGTCAGTAGATGATGGAAATATTGAAGTAAAAAAGAAACACCCTATAAGGTTATTGGGGAAACAAGTAAAGAGGGTAAATAATTCCCCTCAAAATGAGGTTATTGCAGCAGCATTGTTGCCAAACTATGAAAAATTAAATATTGCCCCCTGTATTATTCCCTCAGTAATATAGCCCCCTTAAATATTATCCTCTTAATTATTACATGGAATCCAGGCATGGCCTTAGAGTTAGCAGGTGACTTTTGGACTCGATTGAGCCTTGATGTCACGCAGAATTGACCCAAATGTTACTAAAGCCATTTGAGATTGGACCTCAGATATTTACATTAGGCTCAATTGGCTTAAAAGGCTCAAGCCAAGCCCTGGAATATGAGCTCACAAAGCTTCAAGCCTTATCGCACAGCATACCCATATTTGGAATGGGCTCAAAGGTACTACATCCCTAAAATTGAGGGTTACAAGCCAAAAGCCAACCACAAAAAGCTAGTAAAGCTAGCTTATCAGTATTGCCTGAGCTTTTAGCAAAATAAGAATCAAACACTATTAATTTGGCTGCTTAACCACTTCAAAAATTCAAAAGTCAATGAAAAAACTAGCTAATCCATTCACCAAATACCCCCTATGCTTCTGTCTCTCTCTTAATTCTAAGCGGTTGGTCTTCTCTAGCCCCAGATACAAGACATGAAGACAATAGGATTAAATAAACAACTTTACTAATACTTATGCTATGAATTCATAACATTCATCAATAATAAACAGGGGGCTTGATTGTAAGTCAAAGAAGATATATATTCTGCATTATGGCACAAGCCAAAAAAAGGAAGCCACTGACCTGGGTAGGAAAGTATCTGATAACATTAGCTGTGTTTCCTCTCCAAAGAGAGATCATGCCTTCATCTTTAATGGTTCTTGCAAAACAGTCGGATATACCCTTGTATGGTTCAGACAATCGGCCAGTTTTAAGCATCTCATCTTGATTCTGAACCAAGAGCTTAATTCGTTCAATGGGTGCAGCTGCAGTCTTAGAAACGGCTGCAGAAACCCCTCCCATAAGAAAATCAACCACGAAGTTTTTCTCTGCTTTCTCAGCCACTGCAGGCACAAAAATAGGAGAGGATAGTGGAGGTACGTTTGTCAGGCCAGTACCCTGGTATGAGTACAACACGGGATTCCGTAAGCAACCATTTACATAAGGACTGCTAAAATTGTGAGCTCTACAGTTCCTTTGGTGCAAACTGGGTGCAAACTGAGACATGAAGTTAGACTTCCCTTGTATCTTCTTATATACTGACGGATAACCTAACCCATCCATCATTATTGACTTACAACCTGCAAATTAACAAGATGGAATCAACCACAATGAAAAATACTTTAAGAAGTCGACAGAATGACAATTTAGTAGACCCCCTATATTACTTTTGGGGAAAAACTCAGGAAAAATTGCTGAGGGTGTTACTAGCATAGGTACTCAACTTAGACAAATGATATTGCTAGATGGAAAATGAACAAATCAGAGTATAGTTGATGGATAATGACTTATCCTATAATCTTCATTTATACAAATATGTATAGAGTCCTAAAAAAAAACCAGTCCATGGCAGCATAAAGGATGACATAAACTAAAAATGACATTATAGACCGAAATTTACACAAATATAATTATGCCCTGAAACAAACAAACAGAATAATTATGAACACAGATCACGCATTTTTTCTTTTATATAATTTTTTTTTCCCTAAATAAATAAATAAATCCAAGTGGGAAGACCAGATAGAATTGGATAGAGTATAAAGTAACGGTCAATGATAAACATAATAACGAAATGAATCATACTCTGTAAAACAACAGAACAAATAAACTGTAACCAAATAACATTTATATATGAAATAATTCACATTTTAAGAATATAATTACAGTCTACTATTGATAACATTAACACTATAAGGAAGAGAAACAAACTAATAATGAAAGAATTTTTAATTCAAAAATTAACAAGAAATAATATACTTGTACATAATAAATAGAGGATGGTATTGTGTAAACGATAGAAATATAAATAGTATAACTAATATATAAAGCTAAAATTTTAGCCACACCACGGTGTTCCAACTTTTCACCAATTGTTCACCAAGTGTCACGCCAAGTTGGATGGATTTAGATAGACTTCATATGACAAAAAAAATTAGTTTAGAATTCTATTTTTAATCAAATTTGGATAGAATTTTACGATAAAATTGTTAGTTTAGAATTTTATTTTCGATAAAATACCACAAATTGAATTATAATTTTATTCAAAAAAAAAAAATTAGATTATAATTCTCAAAATCTATCATATAATTTATTTTTTATATTATAATAATTTTTGGAGCAAAAGAAGTAATTCAAAACGTAAAAAAATCCATTTATAATATATACTAATCGGTTAAAATAATATACTTCACAATCTAATTTAATTCTATTCAAAAAAAAATTACTATGTAGACCTATCAATCAGGGTCGGGTCACCTTCAAATTACGGGTCAAGAAATATTCAACCTTTGCTCAAAGTTTTGGTTCGATTCAACCCAACAGGTTCTAATCATTTTTTTTAATTTAATTTATTTTTTGCTAAAAAAAAATTTTTTATGTATTTAATCGAACATTTTCACCAATATTAATATTAGTCATTACATGTATACTAGAGAGCAAATTGTTACAACAGCACATCATATTACTCACGAACTTTGTATTATGATATGTTTTAAAATTTGACACGAGGTACAAAACTAGTGTAAATAATTCATAGTAAGCAAATTGCATTGATACATAAACAAAGAACAAGTGCAAAACTTAGTTTTCTAGCAACACAAAAAGTTAATCATATGTTATAGCCAATATGAATAAAAAGAAAGAAAATGGAAATACAGAGTATGTTACGAATAATACCAGAGATAAGGGAAGGTCAATAACCCAAAAATTATTCAAGTTCTAATCATCTTAGAATCTTGTAAATTAATTTTGATTAAACCAACCCCAAAATAATACAAGTAAAACAATGGCCCGGTTTGGTAGTAAGCTTATTAGGGGTATATTAGCTTATTTGACTAACTTTAGCTGATTGACTAGTCAAACAAGCTAATACAAGTGTTTGGTAGTAAGCTTATTGAAAGAGATTATTCCACTAAATAAGCTCTTTTTGAAAAAGCTCATTTTAGGAGCTTTTTCAATTAGCTTATTCATTAATTATTGTGAAATAACACTTATAACCTCATTTAATTTAAAATCCTATCTAAACTACCTACCTCACAATTAGCTTATTGGTCATTTCACATACTCAATCACCTTTAAGCTATCAGCTATTTACCAAACACTTTTATATAATATAATCAGTTAATAAAATCAGCTAACTCAATTAGCTTCGGCTTCAGCTTTCTCCCAACCAGGGCCAATAACATACATACAGTGTAACATATTGCAAATGCACTAAAATAATAAGTCAAATTTTATTTTTTTTTTGAAAAGCAATAACATACATACAGTGTAACATATTGCAAATGCACTAAAATAATAAGTCAAATTTTTTTTTTTTGAAAAGCAATAATAAGTAAATATAACAATGAAAAAATTAATCTAAGAAAAAGTATGCAATTAAATTAATAAAAAATAAATTGAATTAAAAAAAAAGAAAAGAAAAGAAACGGATATAATTATATTAACATCGTACAAACAATCATACTAAAAATATTTTTAAAAAAAAACAAAATATATAATTAAAAAATATAAAATTCTTAGGATCTTCTCCTAAATCTAACTAATTATGCTGTTAAGAAAACTACGTGACAAATGAAAGTACGATCTGTTTTCATAGTTCGATCCTATTATAAACGATTATAAACAACGACCTGCAACACATTAGCAACAAATTGAAGCAATAATCACATTAAGCTACAAAAATCAGCTGAAATTCTTCTCTATTAAGAATATCAACGTAAATAGCACATAAAAAATTTGAGAAACATAATCGATCGTTGTAATTTTGCATAATTTCAGAAATTATTGCCAAAAAATTCAAGAATTTACCTTAGACGGACGCTTAATAAGATTTACTGACAATGAAATTAGCGATAAATAGAACATTAAGAAATTAATATATGATGATTTTAAAATGAGGGAGAAAAAAAAAACCTAACCTTTGAAGCTTCTTCAATGGAGGAGAGAAATCTAGAAGGTGGAGGAGAGAGAAATGTGCAGAGTAAAAGTTAGAAGGTCCTAAAATATGAAAATGTAGGAGGTAGATTTATGACACGCGTAACTAGAATAATGACAACCGTTCATCTTAAGTTGGTACGAAAGTACTACGTATAATTTGAGGAGAGTTATAGGAGCCGGCCTCATTGATCTTCAAGATTAATGTTTTATGTTTATCAAATGGCTATTTAGTAAATAACTCGAACAGTAAATGGCCCACATCAACATCCAGCTGTAAACTACCTAAGAAACCGTCATTAACGCCGTTTCCCTCTTTCTGCCATTGAAGCTTCTCATGCTTTCCTCTTTCCTCCATTGATGCATTCTTCTTTCTTACATTGAAGCTGCTTATGAACCACAATGTCAATCACCATATTTTCGACGGCTTCGCCGCCGGATAAAACGAAAACCCTAGTAGAAAGTGGAAAATTAATGGGCATGGTTAACCCCAAAGGGAAGAGGTATCATCCTCCTCCATTGATGCTGCTCGCGAGCTTCAGTTTCACCATTGAAGAGGGCTGATTTCGCCATTAACGTTCTTCAAATACTTTGTCCTCCATTAACAGCAGTGTTCATGAAAGTTAACAATGTTAACTTCTTTTATCAGTGAAAGTACAAACTTACCCATACTTAAATGCATAATGTGACAATTATACTCTTAGATAAACATTACAAGTTTATCAATTTGATGAACTTGTATTTTCTCGAGTTATAGATATAGACTTTAATAGTGTTACACCACTTACACCAATTAGTATTATATACTCATGGAGTTAGTGCAGTCAAATTTCAAATCGAAACCGTTTAACTGCTCGAAACAAACCGATCCAAATAAGAACCGAACCGATTAAAAACCGTTTTTTTAAATCAAAAACCGACCCGAACTGTATGTGAATGAACCCAAAATGGAACCAATCCGAATAACGTTACACCGTAAAAGAACCGAACTCTTTAATGAACCGAACCAGTCTAAACAGAAATGAAATCAAACCGAACTGAAAAAGAATCGAACTATTTCTAACCCGAAACCGTTTGAACCAAGATAAAAACCGTTTACACCGAACCGTCAACAACCCGTGACCCGTTTGCACCAAACTGTATATAAACCGAACTGTTTATTAACCGAACCACTTGCAAACCAAATTGTTTTATGAATCGGACCGGTTATAAACGAATCGGCTACAAACTAGTAAGATTGGTATGGCTAAACATGAAACAGAATATGATATGTATTTATAAAAATCAATGAGAATTTGTATATAATATGATGCCTATTTAAGAAATGATGAAGTCTCGACTTAATATAAAATTTGTTAACCAACAAAAGGTTAGCAAGTATTATCAAATTTCAAACCAAAATCATTTAACTGCCCGAATCTAAATGACTCGATAAACAATTGATTTTTTGAAACTGAAAACCGACTCAAACCATATTTTAAATTAGTAAACTGGAAATGGAACCGATCCAAATAACATTACACCGTAGATGAACTGAACCAGTTATAAACTGAACCGAAATAGAACCGAACTAGTTATAAACTGAACCGAAAAAGAACCAAACTGTTTCTAACCCGATTTTCAACCCGAAACTGTTTGAATTGGGATAAAAACTGTTTACACCGAAACGTTAACAAATCGCGACCCGTCTGCAACGAACTGTTTACTACCCGGACTATTTACAACCCGAACCGAATTAAAATCGCTCAAGAATAAACCGAAACCGAATCGAACCGATAATAATTTAAACCGAACTGAAATCAACCTGCAAGACACTTAAACCGATTTCAAACCGACCCGATTTAATACCGAACCGATTTCAAACCGAACCGAACCCGAACTTTCAAACCGTTTTGACAGTACTACATGGAGTACTATGGATCATGGTACTCCTTACACGATATATTTAAGTTATTTTGCATACACTTTATGTTATTTTGTTTAAATGTTGTATTATTTTGTTACAACAATATGTTATTTACTTATTTATTACTTCAACCCAACTCATGTTATTTTCAATTTACATTTAAATAACATGTGCTTATTTAATAATAACATATAGGAAAATTTGTCAAAAATAAGCCAACCTTTGCATGATTAGCTCAAAATAAGCCAAATTTTCATTTAACTCAAAATAAGTCGACTTTTTAATAGTGTTTTATTTTAATAAGTCTAATGACCTGCCACCTACTAATCAAGTCATTTTTTTAATTTAAAATAATTTATTTAATGTTAAATATAATTACATAAAATAAACAAATTAAAAAAAAAAAATCTATCCCCACCATCTCCCCTTCCACCAGCCACCGGTCGGAGGCTGCTCCACCCCTCGGCCTCCGGTCGGGACCACTCCATCCCCCGGCGCCGGTGAGCCCGCCCCATCCCCCGGCGCCGGTGTCCCCACCCCCTTCTTTTTTCGGCTTTTCCCACCCAACACCCCTATCCCTCCCTAGCTTTTCGCTTTCCTGCTTCCCACCGATAGCACCACCTACACCACCATCGCCACCTCGGTAACGCAAACAACAACAACCAGACTCACCCACCAATTTACAGCTCTAGCCGCCACTTTCGCACCACCACAGCAGCACCAATTTTGCATCTACTTGAAATTGTGTGTGGCAGTAGTACGTCATTGAAAAGCCCCAATTTCGCTTCGATCTCATCGCAAGATTGATGAGGGCACGCATCCTCCAAGCATTGGTTCATCGCAACCGCACAAGCAATGTTAAGGATGTCACACTTCCTTCCAGCGAATTGCCGGCGAACTAGGGAGCGAAAGAGGAGGGAGAGGGGTGAGTACGTGTTGGGGTGGGATCGACGGCCGGCGCCGGAGGATGGGGTAGTCTCAGCGGCCGGTGGAAGGGAAGTTAATGATGATGGGGGCTGCAGTGGGTACGGGGTGGCTGTGGGATTATTTTTTTTATTATTTTTTATTTGATATAATTTTTTTTAAATAACTACTCATAAAAAAAAATTAATTTGTTTTTTTTAAAAGACCAACCCCATAATGACATGTGGCATAAATTACCGAAATAACCGGTTTTCCTAAAATTCAACGGGTCATGATTCATTTTGAGAAGCTACTCTATAAAGTTCGACTTATTTTTAGTTAATCAAAATGTTGACTTATTTTGAGCTAACTGGACAAAGGTTGGCTTATTTTTGACAAATTTATATAAATTGGAATAATAATAAATTCACATCAAAATAACATTATTACTTAAGTAGTGTTGAGTTTTAAGGCATTTTGAAGAGAATCAAACATTTTAGAAGATACTAAATATCTAGACATAAACACATTTACTGTAACACCCCAATAAATCTCTCTTTAAACCTGTGAATAACTTGAATAAAATCCAAGAGAATTACTGGCGTGCTGTAGGAGATTATAGGTACTAAATTGCGGAAATATATGAATCATATTCATAAAGCACGCACCTAAACCAAGGATCTCATGCATACACATAAAGAATTAAGAATTATACCTTTGAAGCGTGATTCCACAAGTGATCGAACAAGAACAATAAGGAGAACAAGAACCCCACGTGTGATTCCTCTAATTAGTCCACGAGCATGGATTAAACCTCCACTAATGCTAGTTAGTTGTGACTGAACACTTCAATCAACCTTCAACGGAGATTTGAGCCACGAATACACCACAACACCACCCACGCGCCACCACATGCGCCACCCAAGGGGGAGGGCCGTAAGGACAGGGAGGAGAGAGAGAGGGCCGAGTAGAGAGAGAGAGGGTTAGAGTTTTGGGAAGCTTGGTTGCTTGTGTGACAATTCATTGTATGTCAATTGTTATTTCATGCAATCCTAGGCATGTTTTTTATTTATAGATCATATCTAGAAATAAACCATGTCTAGTCCAAAACCCATTAGACTCTTCTAACTATCCAAGCCCAATTATCAATATGGTATGTCATGAACTCATGAGGCCCAATAATGGGCCTCTAACTTGTTTAACCCAATACTCTTATGTGTGACCTTGTAGGATCCATTCTATAAGGCTCTGGGCCATTAAGCTAGCTCAAAGATCAATTGTCATATCTAGCACCAAACATTGACGACCCTATAGAATGAAAAAATTATCTCCATAATCGTGATCCTTGATATATCTAGTAATTGCACTTATCGAAGACATAACTCCTTCAATCTCCCACTTGTCTGAGACAAGTGAGCAATATTCAAATTTCTTAAGTCAATGTGTGTCGATTTGATAATATGATTGCATCTCATGTCGTGATCATATTAGTCTACAAATCTTTTCTTGAAATACTGAGTTAGATTCACAGAACAAATGATTACTATGTAATGCATTTGAGCACGGCCATGTATTTTCTGAATTCTCCCTCTTCAATGGGCCAAGACACATTCCTAATTAAATAGGTAGACTCAATCCAATCTTGTGGCAACCAAAGCTCCCACTCAACTCATGAAGCAACCGGGAAACACCCTTTATAATCCCAAGTTACGGCTGGACGTTTGAGTGTACCACAGTTAAATCAATCATTGAATGGAATAAATGTTCCACTCATGTCAAAGGAATCCACTAATATATCCGGAAGTTCTATACTTGAATTTCAAAGTAGGTCTATATAGTTCGATCATGCATCATTCATGCATATCCATGTGATTGACCGAGCATCATCACTATGCTCCTATAGCCCATGAAACTGCACTATCCAATCAATCTTATATGCTAGTCCAATTTAAGAAATCATTTATGTCCAGTTTAATGATTCTGAACTAGGAACTTAAATAATATATGGATTTAGTTCACCTGTGGGGTTTCATTCACCAGGTCATCAACCTGATGAGCCCATCAATCCATAATTATTTTGGAAATTTTATTTAATATCGAAACCATCATTAAATAAGAGAAATAATAAAATTTCTGATTAAACATAATTCTGCAAATGAATGCATTACATATGTAACTTATTTTTCTCCAAAAACAAATACAACTTCTAATTACATCATTTTCCTCAATCCAGATTCATTAGCATGTTTCTCATGCTTTGGAAGTGGAAGGGGTTTAGTAAGTGGATCAGCAATATTCTCATCCGTATGAATTTTGCACATCT